AGTAGTCTGCAAACACTCAGAAGTAGAATCTAAATATAGAGAAGAGATCTTAAAAATATAAAATTATTCTATAAATAAATCTTTATTATGATATTTTTACAGTCCTCTTACACAAGTTCTTAGTAGTCATAAAATAAAAAGGATATTACCAAGCCTTCTTAGACAATTACCATATAAATACCAAAAGTTTTAACCTATATCTTCTTAACATATATTAGAGTTAGCTTCCACCTAACAATAATGGTTCTTAGTCTTAATAAGTGTAAGCACTGTTTAACCCTAAATTCTTTTACACTATCTTTGTACTCTTGATAATAAAATCTTCACCATCAGAAGATGTACTTTTATCTTTCAGTTGACAGCCTCTAATTATATAAAGTCAAATGAACAACCTTCTAAAACTTCGGTCTACTTGACTATTATTCTAGTAGTCTCTTCCAAATTCACAAACTGGCCAGATTATATGACAAGCACCTATGCATAATATAGGTTCAATAGATAGCATAACAATACTTTATGTCTACTGCCTATTATATCTTCTAAGTCTGGACAGCTTCTCCTCATTCTACATTACCTCCAAGAGAATTACCTCTAAAGAGATTTTGTCTTCAATACTGTTAGGCATATGTGAATGCACAGACTCCTCCATAAGGTAACTATATACAGGCTCTCATATATCAGAGTTGCCAACACCCCTCTCTGGCTCCCTTATGAGGCCTGCGCATTCTTAGCGAGATTTCAAAGAGCTGTATCCTATGACTACAATGTCATTTCAATGAAGCCCACTTCATAATACAATATACATTGTTGCAATATGTTCGACCAGAAGCTGTTTAAAGGATATATGGGAAGAGACCTCTGGGTATCTCTGAAAAGTGGAACAGAGAAAATCCCCCAAAGGTACATTGAGTTACTAGACTTTGAAGCTAGCCATCTTAATTATTGGCTGAACCTAACAGGACATTTTTGTAACAATAATCCACAACCACTCCTAGGGTACTCTAAAGGCCATAGGAGATAGAAATGATACTAATAGCTTTCTGAAAGATGCTGTATATTGGTTAGTCCTGGAAACAGGATCCCTCCAAAAGTGATTCTCTTGAAGGTAAGGTGGACTAAGGGAAAGCTGCTCAGACTCAGAAGACCTAATAGGCAGTAGACATAAAGTATTGGCACACTGTTTACCAAGCCTCTATTATACTTATATGCTTGACATACAAGCTGGCCACTATATGTATTTGGAAAAGACTACAGGAATGATAGTCAAGTAGACTGAGGATTCAGAAAGAAGTCTATTCAAGTCTATAAATTGGAGGCTATCAGCTGGAAGATAAAAGTACATTTTCTGATTGTAAAGATTTTATTACCAAAGGTACGAAAATAGTATGAAGAAATTCAGGATTAAAAGATGTTCACATTTGTTAAAACCAAGGACCACTACGAACAGATTAGAGAAAGCTACTTAATTGTATATTAGTTAGATGTAGTCTACAAACACTCAAACATGTAATATAAATATTAAAATATCTTCAAAGCTTTACAAATATGATTAAGCAACAGAGAAGAGATCTTAACAATATTATGTTGTTCTGCAAATAAATATTTATAATATCTTTATTGTCCTCTTAAGTAAGTTCTTCGTAGTTGTAAATGAAAAGCATATTATCAAGCCTTTCTAAAAGATCTCTGTCTATACTAAAGATTCTAGCCTAAATCTTCTCAATATATACTAGAGTTAACTTCCACCTAACAAGGACCAACCAACATATAGTGGCCTTTATATAGGTATTTATATCATATCTATCTCCTACAGTCTCTGGAGCACTGTAGGAATAGTTGCAGATTGTTGTAACAAAAACAACCCATTACTTTTGGCCTATAATTAGGATGCCTATCTTTAAAGCCTTGTAACTAAATTGACCCCTGACGGATTTCCTCCATTCTACTTCCCAGAGGTCCCTTCTTATAGATCCTCTAATCAGCTTCTAGTCAGATAGATAGCAGTGATGTATATAGTGCTATGAAGTTGATTTCATTGAAATAACATTATAGTCATAGGACTCAATTGTTCAAAATCTTACTAAGGCTGTGCAGGCCTCATAAGGGGATGAGAGAGGAGAGTTGCCAACTCCCACCTCCCAAATATAAAAATGTGGAGATTTCAATATTCCAGTTGCAGTGTTAGGAAGTATGGTAGCTGTCCACCAGCTAGTGATACAAGAGAAGCACTACTTGCACCGCTTGGGGCAATATACCATACTGTAATTGCTGTGAAGGAAGCCACCACGGACTAACATTAGACAAGGAGATCATTGAACAGAAAGCTCTACTCCAGAGTATCACCATCTCTCGATACCTCTACTACTTATGATCTTGCCTACCGAATAATTATTATCATTTCAATTTTCCCTCCCTCAGAGGAGCAATATGTATTATTCTGGAAGACTAAACTCTGTACTAGGTTTCTCGCAATCCTACACTTCCTATATCCTTAAACCCGACTAGAATCGTAGTTAAAAGTGATAATCTATGTATTATAGTTTCAAAATAAAATTATAACTCAGCTATCACAATATATTTATTTTATGATATTATCTATCCTGTTATCCATTACATTCAGCTTATCACATTTCCTCTCTCTTTACATTTTCCCTCAATTTATTTATATTATACATCCTCTCCTTTCTTTCTGAACTCCAAAATAATCGACTCCACCAGCTATAATTACACTTGTTGATCCCCTTATCATTGCCGCTACTCGAATACATAGATTAAACTTTATAGAGTATTATTAGGGAAGGGCTAAAGTTTACGCCAGGGCGAATTGTGAATACATATTTCCTGTTCTGGTTCAAATCGTTCCGGTGGTATTGGTACAAGTATCCAATATATTGATCTGGAAATATTACCAGCAATTAATACATATAATGAATGCATATAGACAGGATCTTGTCTATAGGTCAGAGGATTTTAAAAAGCATGTATTCACTAGATATTCCTCTCACAGACGAATAGCAGAGTCTGACCTTCATGTTTCTTAATCTTTAATGAATCCAATATGGTTGACTTCTTCTAAATATAATAAATAATATATCATTTGTGTAGAAATTATTGGGCAAAGGGTAAACTTTGAAAATGTAACATGAATTATCACATGAACTTTCACTCCATTTTAGGGTTGATTCCTGGGAGGGTAACGGCTTTTGAGTGTGTTACACTTGGCATCACCGCCAAAATTGTCACATTTTTTGAGAAACCTAGTACAGAGTTTAGTCTTCCAGAACCATATCATACCGCACTGTGCACCCTCCACCTAACCTATTGTCCAGGGACAAAATTAACTAGCTGTCAATGGCCAGAAAATCTTCAGTGATGACAACCACACTCCCCTACCAACCCACTATCATGAAAACCCAAAAGAAAATTAAAAAATATAAATACATAGTAGAAATTAATATTTAGTATACCATCCATCAGCCTTAATAATTGCTTCCACCCTATCCACCATTGATCCTGCCAAAGTATCAAAAACCTTTGGGTCCAGAAGTTCCCAACTATGAGTGATAGCCTCCTCTATAATTTTTTTGATCTCATTAACAGGGCCCTTCAGGAGAAACAGCTCAGGATAGTGCTTATGAAGCTTGTCTTTCACAAGAGACCAAACATTTTCAATTGGAACAAGGTCTGGTGAATAGGGAGGAATTTCCATTAGAGAAATTCCATTTCTCCTGAGCCATCTCCTGAAAGAGCTAAGTGAGTCTTAGCATTGTCAATAATCAAAAATACCTCTTCCTCTCCAACATGCTCCTTGATATCCTCCCATATCCCTGGAAAGTCATATTGATCATAAACATCAATAATTGACTTTCCAGTCACTCCACCTCCAGCAGAAGTAGGATTAGGAAAAACAGGTAAAAAAAGACCATGAGTTTGACCATAGAAACAACCAGTCATCATCTGACTAATCTTTCTCTCTCCTTTCCTAGCAGTAGGTTCAACACAATCCTTATTCCACTTTTCTTTTGGCTATCTAAATACCCATTTTCTTCTCTTTCCTCCTCCCCTCTCCACAGCTACCTCATCCCCCCACATTGCCTTCCTTCTCCACATCTGCCTTGTCCAATTCCTATGGGCTAATGCCCATTCCAATCTCTTTTGAGCTAGATCCTCATCCAAATGAACCCTCTCTTGTGCCATCCACTTTTTAAGAAGCTTTTGTGTAAGTCTTCTCTTCACAGTCTTAGCAGAAATATTGGGAGCCACTCTCCCAGCAATCTCAGAGTAGCTGGTATGGCGATTTTTGATAGCTTCCTCTACTATAGCATCATCCTGCAGAGCTTGGTAGTTTTAGGATGTCTTCCTCTACCTTCATTCTCCTTGCCCTCTTGATCTCTCTTTGCAAATGTGCTTTTAACAGTACTGAGAGGAATGTCAAGGTAGTGGGAAATTTGGTGATTTGTCATCTGAGGCTCGCATAACCCGAGAATTCGTCCCCTTGTAAACTCAGAAAGGTGCTTGGAGGGAATAGGCTGTTTGGCATGACTGCGAAGAATAGGAGGCATAGTTTATTGAAAAAAAAATTTAAGTAAATTGGTTTGGTTTTGGTTGGTGTAGAGCAATTTCTTTAGGAAGTGTTGAGGGAGCGGGGTGATGAGGAGGGGAGCGTTGCCATTGCCGTTGAGAGCTAGTTAATTTTGTCCCCGGACAATAAGAGCATATGTGGAATGCAGGGGGTCGCTCCCTACGCCGGCCCAAACCTATTTTTGGGTGGGACATTCACTATCTACGTCCCCTCATATGTTTGCGGGTTTGGTGCAACGGGTTATAGCCACAGCATAGCCAACGTCAGGAGGAAAATACCTGTACCGGTACTCCAGGGATATACCTAGTGGAGTCGTATCCCAACGTGGGCTATGCAAACACTCAACCCTTCGTTCTCAGTATCATGCAACAGTAACCCCTCCAAGCCTCCATGATTTGTCTAGCACAGCGCCGCAGGAAACGGAATTCAAGGTATGTCATTAATATAATACATGCCCTTCCCTCTCAAGCAGAAAAAACTTCTATCTCATCATCCCCTCAAAACCTAGTCATCATCCTCTTCTGCGCCATCATCAACAACGTTGTAGAACTTAAGTTCGTAAACACCGCGAGAAGTGGAAACCACACGAAGCCAGTCCCGGAGCTGGTGCTTTTTAAGGTACTTCTTGGTTCTACACAAGCACGATTAGCCCCTGCTCTTCCCTCCCCACAAGGAAAGTAGGATACGTACAAATACTTAAGATACCTCCCAGAAAACTGAGTATGCGCAAGCACAACAATTTTCCCATCTCCCTCCTGCGATATTTGAATGACGTCTCCGAGGTTACCAACGCGGCCGTCAACCTTGATCTTGTCGTGGAGGAATTTCTCGAATTGGCTGACGTCGAAAATTTTGTCGCCGGCCGGGCGGGAAGCATCGATTACGAACTGTCAGTCTGTTAGTATTCTGTAAGGAGGGGATTGAGAAGGGGGGGTCCGAAATTACCTTATGCGTAACCTTAGCAGCCTTCGCGGCTTTTGCAGACTTCTAAAAAAAAAACACCATTTTTTCAGCCTACTGATTTTTTATGTGCAAAACCAGCAAAGCGACAATGGTAGATACATACAGCGTTGGGGGCCATTGCGAAAATAGAGAAAGAAAATCTATGAGGTGCGCAAAGAGGTTTGGATATCCTACGCTGTGGGAAGGCGACTAGTGAGAGTAGGCGGTGGTAGTTGTACTCGTAGTGGTAGTTCAGGATTGTTGTGAGGGGTGACTTTTTTGGTTTGGGAAATTTCGTGGGATCATGTGTGGTGTGCGGAGCAGTCACACTCCCTGAAGCTTGGCACCTGGCACATCCCGAATCACTCGACCTTTAGATTTCCTACTGCCGGTCAGACGCTGTCCAGTATCTCGCAGGGCCCCAGCCACCATCACGCTATTTTAACGAGCCAACAAAGCCAACAAAGTCTAACTTATCCAAGATCATCAATTCCCTATTCGAAATGTATTGAGCCTAAGGATATAATACAGTCGTTACGCACCCCAAAACCAAAAAATTCCCCAACAATCGTAAAAGCAGTACCAATTCCAATAGCTCCCACCCTACCCCAATACCGGCACCACACACAAAAAATGCATTACTCCTTCTCCTCTTCCTTCCCGGAGAGCACATCCACAAAGTCCCTGTACCTGAATACATCTCCACCGTGAGTCTGCCCTCTTCCCAAGGCTCTCCTCTTCGTGAACCCTTTCAACGCCCGCTCAATGTCTGCCTCGCTCATTCTCTCACCCATGCTTGTCAACGCTTCCGCAAGTTCTGCAACATCAATTGTGCCATCGTCGTTATCGTCAAACGCCGCAAACGCGCTTAGGAGGTCGGGTCCAGGGGTAAGCAGGGACAGATGTTGTGATAGGTGAGTGAGGTAAGAGGCCAAATTGAAGGGTGTGGGGACGGAAGACAAGTGCGCATTGATCACCGCTGGAGTTGGGTCTTGACCTATTTAGGGATAAGTAGAGTTCTCACTGTGCTGAAGCCGGATAATAGTCTAGTTACCGAGGCTCCCAAGCATAGCTCCAAGATCTTGCTTGCCAATAATTCCATCACCGTCTTTATCCAGCATTTGAAAACTCTCCTTCAGCTCCTGAATCTGCGTACTAGATAATTGTGTGAATGCTCCGGAAGATGTTCGCTTTATGTTACCAGTTGATCGAGGAGTCCCGAAGGGACTAGAGTTTGGGGAGAGACTGTAGCCCAGAGGCGATGGTTTCGAAGTACGATTAGAAGCCTGCATTTCATCAGCACAGCGTAGTAAATCCTCCATTAGCTACCTACCATAACCATCTAGGGAAGGGGAACTCCAAATTCCGATAGTTCGCAAAGAGAAATTTTGTGATCGGAGGTGAAATAAGGAAAGGTGAAGTACGATAGATGAGATGAAGTGACGGTTGTGGAGTTTAAGCCCCGATGTTTATTCGACACGAGGTTGTCGCAGCTGTCCGTTGCCACAACAACGATCGATAATCAGGCCCTAGGGTGATTCCTCTCCATCCATCCTACCACCAACCCCCGAATCTCTCTGCAAGTCATGACGCTCCAACGATTACGGCCAAACCTCACTAGAATAATCAATTCAAAATGCGTTACATATCCTCTAGCACAATTTTCAACCGTATGCCCTCGCCTAACACAGCATCCTACACCCTCCAGAACACGGTTCCTGCCGCGAATTTTGGACCCAGCGGTGTGGTTCCCGTTCTATAAGACCGAGACGAGGAAAGGGAAAGCAGGCTCGAAAGAGAGAAAGCCCAAAATACATAATCCGGCCACCTTCTTTGTTGTTGGTCTCACTTTTTGATGGAAAGTATGACTAGCAGATTAATTGACGGGTATAGGTCATGGCAATGCTTATCGGTTCGCAAGCAATTCAAATGATCCGTATCAGACAGACTCACGAGGATTACATGTGGCGGGCAGATACAAAGATTGCGGTTCTACGGGAGGTTATCGAACGGCTAGAGAAGGGGGAGGATGTGGATGTTGAGAAGGTGCTAGGGGTTGGTAATGAGAAGGAAGAGAAGAGTTGGGAGGACAGTATGCTGCTTTCTACCCCTGGGTAATCAGAGTGGGTACTCGTACTGATGGCCGATCGCAGTCTTGAAGCAATTGGAGGAGGAAGATGCAGAGTGGGCAGGGGAGAGGAACCAGAAGGCTCAGCCTACTCCCCCAAGTGAAAGAAGCGATAATGCGGCCACCGAAACTTCTAAGCCAGAGGAAAAGCCAGGAGAAAACAAGAGGCCAAGAGAAGAACCACGAAAGCCACGGGGCCCAAGAAGTGCCCGAGATTATGGATTTAGCTAGAATCCCTATTTCGCAGAACCATATCATGATGTATATAAAACTGTATAATATTGTACAACTACAATCTCCATATCACCATCAGTCACACGAGGCTCAAAGTTATACATTGAGCATCTTGCAAGGATTGCCTTTAGATTTCCAATCCTTCCCCGCTAAACAAACCCAACGCCCTTGGCAGCTACGAACGTCATTGGTAAACCTCCCGTATCGATATCCCCTACCCCAAATCCACTTTCTCAATTGGCATCTCCAAGACAAAATCTCCTCCATAAGGCTCTTCAAAAAAAAAAGAGCTACTCCATCCCTTGCTGGGTACCTATCATGAATCCGTGTAGCATATCGCACACCCT